CGTACTGTTTCTTCCTGTGTCTCACTGACTGACGTAGTACAGATACAGTGGTACTGTTTCCTCCTGTGTCTTACTGACTGACGTAGTACAGATACAGTGGTACTGTTTCCTCCTGTGTCTTGTTGTTACTGTCTTTTACAGTTAGATGTGCCTGTTTAATTTTTGTATCAATCGTATCTTAAGGTTGTTGTTACTGCCGTTTTTGGAGAGATTTGTTTGTGTAACTTTTGTAGCACTTTTGATACCACGAAATATCATCAATAATTTATTTCAGTTTCTACTTGAAAGTTTGATTCGTTTATAAAAATAATCAATCCGAAATTGAGCTGCACCAAAAAAGAAAAACCTTCCATTCCATCAAAAGATAGTTGAGACTATGGCTATGACATCAGTGAGACTATGGCTATGACATCAGTGTTTGGTAGTTTCAAAAGTCTGGGAGATTGTGCTTCAGATAATAAGCACGGTGCTTTATCCGTGATGCAGCTCAAAAATATTTAATTCTTTCCATATCTACCTTCATAAAAGCATCATATGACCTATATTAAACACATAAAATACAAAATTTGAAGAAGAAGAATTCATTAATGAGAAACAATTCAATCAAAAGTACTCAAGAACGCGTAGATCCTTTGAAGAAGAAAACTTGTAGATGGGTAGACAGAAAAATTGCATTCAATTTAAGAATCCACCCGGACATACATCGGTAAAATAATAGTGACAACTAGCCTTTGCCCAACATTTTAGTGCACTTATGTCAAGGTACCCTTTCACTGTTACCATTTTTGGGTGTACAGTGTATCCCTGTCTTTTTTCTGGGATACAAATAATAAATGTGGGAATAAAGGAGAAACAAGACAACTCTGAAAACTTACGCCTAGTCTACTTCGCTTACCGAGATACTCGTAATAGGTTATGGTACTTTTGGAAATTTACAAGCTAGGCTAAGAGTAATGATTTACAAGTTAACATAAGAGTAATGATTTACAAGTTAGCCTAAGAGTAATGATTTACAAGTTAGGCTAAGAGTAATGATTTACAAGTTAACTTAAGAGTAATGATTTACAAGTTAGGCTAAGAGAAATGATTTACAAAATACCACACACTCAAATATTCATTGCCCATTAGGAAACGAATGGAGATTTGATTGGTTCCTAACAATTATTATTTGTAATTGACATGTCTCGTATTTAAGCTGTATGCCACCTCGTAAGCTGCGATACGAAAATGCATATTTTTTGGCACTGAATGTCCATGTTTTACCCCTCACTAGTTAGTTACGATCAGTGAAAATACGGTAAAGCATTACCCATGATGCATCATTGAACAAAAAAATTCTAATGACACCTGTGAAACGCCTATCTACAAGTATGTGCGTGTAGTGTAGGTATAGATAGAAATGTACATGCCTGATTGGTTGACAGCAGATGTGCTATTGTTCAACCTTTCATACGTCACTATGGCCATACATAAACGGCTGGAACTACGTCTGAAAAAAAAAAATTCATTCCTAATAATACAGCCAACTTTGGTTTAGAGGGGGGGGGTTACAAAGTCCCTAATTAGGTTGGCTTTCACTGTTTGGTTCCCTGGCTGTAAAGGGAAAAAACTGTAGATGACCTCAAGTATTCGCGACGTCAGGGAAATCCCGGGAATTTTCCGCGAATTATTTCGTCATTAGAAGAAGAAAATAAGTAACAGCTTGTAACGTTAACCTTTTGTGGCAAAAAAAATTTCTTTTAAAGCTGTGGAATAAAGGGAAGTGTAAATTATATGAATTTTGTTTCTTTCATATGGAGATGTTCACTAACATTATATTTTTATTTTTTTTAGGATTCCCAAGGAATCGCCATGAAGAGATGGGTTTCTCTTTACCCCTATAATGGTAACGGTTGTTGTTCTTGATTTTGTTATGGAATAAAGCTACACAGGTGGCGCGTAGAAATATGAAAATGAAACATATTATCGGGTAGCATTTTATTCTCAAGTCATGGTATATATATATATATATATATGGGTGTGTGTGTGTGTGCGCGCGCGCCCCCTAGTGGCACAGCGGTATGTCTGCGTACTTACAACGCTAGAATCCGGGTTTCGATACCCGTGGTGGGCAGAGCACAGATAGCCGATTGTGTAGCTTTATGCTTAATTAGAAACAAACAATATATATGGTCAGGTGGTTAGGGCGCTCGACTCGCAATCTGCGGGTCGCGGGTTCGAATCCCCGTCGCATTAAACATGCTCACCCTTTCAGCCGCGGAGAGGTTATAATGTGACGGTCAATCCCACTAATTGTTGGTAAAATAGTAGCCCAAGAGTTGGCGGTGGGTGGTGATGACTACTAGTCTTTCCTCTAGTCTTACACTGCTAAATTAGGGCCAGCTAGCGCAAATAGCCCTCGTGTAGCTTTGCGCGAATTTCAAAACAAACATTAAACAGTTGGTCTGCTGTATAATATCGAATAATGGATTTGACGAGATGTCGTAACATTATTCACCAACCTAAATTAAATTAGATCACTTTATGGTGACGTAAAACGGACTCACAACCACATAGATATATCTGGTCAGTTTTTCGTTTTCAGTTCCATATGCTAGACATAGTAAGTGTTTGTACCCATTTCAGTTTAGTGCTAGACTAACAAATTATATAAAAAAACAATACAATATATTACGTAGAAATAACCGGTTATAACTAATACGGTCATTCAATTAATTTTTCCAAGTTTCTTAAACTGTACTTGATACACGTACCGTGATAAAAATCTTTAAAATCCAGCAGAATATGAACGTAAAATTTAAACAATATATATATATATTCTCAGCCTTAAAGGAAATTATCCTATAGAACTTGTTACGTTGATTATAAATAATGATTTTTTTCCCTTCAATGTCCTCTTTTACACACACACACACAGCATTTGATAATCATACTTAATCTACCAGGTTTATGTTACATGGTTAAAAGGTAACCCTAAATCTGTTCAGCACAAAAGTCGCCATTTTGTGATGCAACTCGAACAAGGGAACGTAACTGTAGGTTTTCAGTCAATTTTTGTTGTGTGTGTGTGTTAAGCGCTGAGATACACAATTGGCTATTTCTGATCTGCCCACCGCGAGTATCGAAACCTGATATTTAGTGTTATAAGCCCTCGGACTTTCCGCTTAGCAAGCGGGGTGGAGGGATAGTAGCCAGGAAGTGTGACTGCTGTAGTCTTAAGCCGGCGTCTTATTCCTGAAATTATTAGGTTCTCTTTGCGCCAGACAACTTTTTATTTGGCGATCATTTCTTAGAAAAGAAGGGTTAGCATATAAAAAGTATATTTTAGTTATGGTAATCAAGATGAATATTAAATGAACGAAAAAAAATTGCAATTGTAAAAATAAATGTTTATATTCGTTCTGTTTTTTACTTACACGTTAGGTTTATTTAATTCAGAGTTATACACGTTCACAACGGAGAAAATTCTGAATTGTAACATTTATTCGACTTTCTGTTTCCCGGTGGGACAGTGATAAATTTACAGAATTGCAACGCTAAAATCCAGGGTTCGATTCCCTGAGGTGGACTTGCTCTAAAACAAACAAACAATTAGTCTTTTTTATATATATTAAAAAATTGCCACAGAGGGCGCAACACGGCTTCTTTCTGCCTAATTTAGAGTTTGTTTATTTGTATGATTTGGTTTATTCACTGACAGTGACAGAAAAAAAAAATCAGTATTTTACGAGAGGTTGAAGACGAAAAAGAAATATCAGGGTGTGTATTTTTTGTTTTGTTTTTTAGGGTTTGCCAGTGTTCATTTTCATCTTCCTAATGATTATTCAAAAGGATGGTGGAAGGTGCGAGTTGTTGCTCTGGAACAGGTGGAGGAAAAGAAAATCAAGTTGGAACGATGGTTTGGTCACAAGATGGATGTGATTGTGTATTTACCAGCTTATGTTCTGACGACAGATGAATACTTAGAAGGTGTAGTGGCATCTAATCATACCAGCCTCGCGCCGGTTATTGGAAATGCCACTATAAAAGCAGTAATTAAAGCCCCTGATGTGTATAATCTTCCACCAATATGGGACCCGTACCTACTAAAAACAGTTGTTGTCGTAAGTACAAAGAAATTTGGTAGTATTCTGTTCTAGAATTTGGCAATATTGAAAATCTTTTCGTAATGCAATAATTTCAAGTTGTAAAACAAACTGCACACTGGTATTGTATAAAGTTGTTTAATGATAATTTGTATACAATAAACCATCCTATTTGTTTATGCTCTAATCCAAAATTAAGCCCCATAGTTTGTTTCAACAGCCCCTTTTTATGCTCTCGTTTTGTAAAAGTAAAACTTGTGCTATAGATATTGTCAACATGGGTGCCCGCAGGTAGGAGTAAGAGGGGACATTTGCCCCCTTTACATTTCACAAAAAAATTGCACCTATTATGATGTAAATTTAACATTATAGTTAAACTAAATATTTTTAGTACTTCTTATTAAAACTCTAAACTTGTGTTTGCACTTAAGCACACACACACACACACACATATTCTTTTAGTCTGCTGACTTGCACTGTAAAAAGCTGATCACCTACATACATGTTTTGCATCCCCCCTAAAAATAATTTCTTTGAGCACCCATGATTGTGAACTTTATACCGTGTTTGACTTACATCGCAGAAGGTTTTGGTACTAAGCTGACTAAAATAACTGTAATAGTCAGTAGCTATTTAACAGCTTTATTTAACCCCAGAACTACTACTGGTTCTTTGTAAATGCAGTTTGTAAAACTATTTATCCATTAAATTGTTTGTGACTTTGTTTATTAGAGTCTAATAAAATTCAAGTTGTACCAAAAAATTAAATACTATTTGGTTTTGCAGTTACTTAGTTTGGGGTTGATTATGTAGAAACACAATAACAAAAAGTATATAAACGAGTCAGTATTTTATGTAGAAACATAATAACAAAAAGTATATAAACGAGTCAGTATTTTGAGAGTAAAGCAGAGGTTATATATGTTTAGTAATACATTTTAAATCTTCTGTTGTGGATATTAATCTCATGAGGCTGTTCCATTTTCTTTTTGATATTTTTCACAACAATAAATATAAATGTCATACTGATTCTAACCATATTTTCATATGAGTTTCACAGTTTAAAGAAATATCATACTGATCCTAAGCATATTTTTATGTGAGTTTCACAGTTTAAAGAAATATCATACAGATCCTAAGCATATTTTCATGTGACTTTTACAGTTTAAAGAAATATCATACTGATCCTAAGCATATTTTTATGCGTTTCACAGTTTAAAGAAATATCATACTGATCCTAAACATATTTTCATGTGATTTTCACAGTTTAAAGAAATGTCATATTGATCCTAAGCATATTTTCATGTGATTTTCACAGTTTAAAGAAATGTCATACTGATCCTAAGCATATTTTCATGTGATTTTCACAGTTTCAAGAAATGTCATACTGATCCTAAGCATATTTTCATGTGACTTTTACAGTTTAAAGGGGGCTATAAGTTCCAGTTTAGACTAGATGACATGCGTCGTCTTGTAGCTCCTCATCCTCTCGAAGGTTGTGAAGTAGAAGTCCAGGTTGAAGTTAGAGACCATTTCTTAAACATTGTGTTCCCTGCTTACTCTAGAGCAAAAATTATTAAAGCAGAATTGAATTTAAGATTTTTAGGAGTTAGCCCACAAATATTCAAACCAGGAATGCCTTTTAAAACATATGTAAGTTTCAAACATTTTTCAAACTTTTCTTTATAAAATATATATTCATCATCATACAGGTATTTATTTAAAAACTGCCATTAGGATTTTTGTTTTATGTACAGTAGCAAAATTTGTGTAAAGAAACATTTGTATTATACGTATGTAGTTCTTGAAGAAATAAATACAGCTGTCTTTTCCAAAATTTTATAAAATTTGCTATGTAATGGGACTTATTTTTTTCATATATATACTTTTTCATATTGTTGATTTGTTGTTGCAATATTAAGTTTTAAATTCAAAAATAGGTTTTTACTTTTATAAAATTTGTTACTTGATTAAGGAAACAGTATTTTGATATCTAAATAAATGGCATATAGTAATAAGCCAAATTTAAAAGAATTAATATAAAGTATATAATACCTCTGTGGACACTTCTTTAGCTAGCGATTTCTTATGATGATCTAACGCCTCTCTCTGGAGATAAATTGGCCGAGTCCCTGGTTCAGGTGCGTCCTAATGCAGTTCTTGCTAATGGTGGAAGAATGGATCTTGAACTCATAGAGGAGTCGTTTGGGGAGAAAGGCTTATTATCCGTTGAATTTGACACACCGAAGGATGCTACAAGAATAACTCTACACGTAACTTGCAGTTTATTTTCTTTATTTCTGTATTTTATCCAATAATTTCTTGCCCTTCACTGCCCTTGACCCCATTCTCCACCGTAGTTACACTCAACTAGTTTTTCATGTCATAGTAATATCAAGATGTAAAAAAAAACACTGCCCTTGGCCCCGTTCTCCACCATGGTTACACTCAACCAGTTTTTTATGTCATAGTAATATCAAGATGTAAAAAAAACACTGCCCTTGGCCCCATTCTCCATCGTGGTTACACTCAACCAGTTTTTCATGTCATAGTAATGCCAAGTTGTAAAAAAAAACACTGCCCTTGTCCCCGTTCTCCACCGTGGTTACACTTAACCAGTTTTTTATGTCATAGTAATATCAAGATGTAAAAAAAAAACACTGCCCTTGGCCCCATTCTCCACCATGGTTACACTCAACCAGTTTTTCATGTCATTGTAATACCACAAAACACTGTCAAACAATGACTTCCAGTTACTAAAAAAACAAAAAATAACACTCTGACTTCAGGTGCATAATAAGAGTAATGGTCAAATCCCACTATTTGGTCAAACAGGAGTTGATGGTGGCTGGTGTCTTCCGTCTAGTCTATCAGCTCAAAATTAGGGATGTCTAGCACAGATAGACTTTTAGTAGCTTTGAAGAAAACAAAAAATTTTCTCCTCCATATTTATACTCAACCAAATTTCCAGGTTAAAGTAATGCCACATAACACTTTCCTTCATACTTTTTTTTCCACTATAGCACTCGATGTTGTCTTTCCTTCAAGGGTTACGGCAATTTTAGAAACTATGCCTTCCATAATCAGTATTTTAAATGGTTTTTATCTTCTTGTAGAATATTCATTTCATATGAAATACATAAACTTGTGTATGTTAAAACATAAGGTCAGGTAAAACTTTTAAAAAGTTTCCGTGATGTATGAATTTTCTGTAATATTCACAATTAAGTAAATTTGTTAGTAACAAGTGTCTTTCAACTGTTCCCTGTTTCTAGCCAGTGTTTCTAAATGTCCTTGTTTTATTAGGCAAACTACAAAGACAGTGATGATGAAGTAACATCAGAATTAGTGCTGCTAGCCTATCACTCTCCAAACCAAAGATACATGCACATTACCACAAGTACAACGGATGCAGCAGTATGTATTAACCATTTAGTCACTTTTAGCAGCAGCAATCCCATATTTATAACTTTTATCCGACTTCTCAAAACACTAGTGTCTGTAACTCAGTGTTGTTTTATATATATAGAGAGTATTTGTGTTTATTTATTCAAATCCAAAGACTGAATTTAAGTTCATTTTCCATATATCATACCCAAGAAAATATTGCCATAAATTTTCACTGTGATAGTTTTTCAATTGAATTTTTATTATTTTACCGTTCTAAGGATTGTTATAAAATAAAAATTAACTTATATTAGAAACTTGATATCTTTAATTAAGTCGTTATTAATAACCAGTTTAATAATGCTTAAAAAAATGTGATAAACTGGTTCCACAAGTTGCTCTGAGAGAGCTGAAATAACTTGTGATATTTTAAACATAAATAAATATTTTCAGAAAGAATTCTCCTTTTAAAAAAAATTTATCTATCAAGTAATTTATATTTATCGTTTAAATCATCCTTATTATGTATGTACAATAAACAAATTTTTTGCCGAAATTGACTATGATGTAGGGATAGCAATGCCAAAAGTACAGAAACAAGGTAAGGATGAATACATAAAACCATACAAAAATGTCTACATAAGTAACTAGTAAGTATTGAGTCAATCTTACAAGCTTATGGTTATTAGCCACTTTAAGACTGTATAGCTCTATTCGGTTTAAATGCTTTTATTCAAACCTGAATTCACACAACAGACAGGAATTTAACATTTAATTGTAGATAAAAGTTATTCTTGGAAAGATTTGGCTACTTGTGTAATGATTTTTGTGTGGTTTTATGTATTCATTCCTACCTTGTTCTGTATTTTTTAGCATTGCCATCCCTACATCATAGTCAATTTTGGCAAAAAAAAATTGATTACTTGTTTTCCACATTTCTTTTTAACCATTTTGCTGCGTAGTTTGAATATATCCAAATAAACGTTTATACCCACTGACTGCAAAATTCCGATTTACCCCACGGCTACCAAAAAAAGTTTCCCTTTACTGCAACATGTGGGAATATCCCCCTGTACTTGAAACAATCGCCAAACCTGTGTGCATGCTGCCATCTGTATTCTATGCCGTGAAACCTGGATGTTTATATGCCACAGCTAACTGATTACACAGCAATGCAAGCTTTGACTCTCCGTGTTTTGGAGCTGATTTTATGAGTTATTAATGTGTTACGTTTGTTATACTTGTCGGTGATTTTCAGGAAGTATAGTATATATATCTTCTTGCATGCTAATACATGATAGAGGCTTTTAAAAATGGCGATATAAGGCATTTCTATGTGGATAATTGACACTTTTTGGGAATCGGCCTGAAAATTAATTGCTCAGGTGAAAGGGTTAAATAATTTCATTGACGTAAAGTTGCAATTCATCATGAATTAATAATAAAAGAACAGAGTATCGTGTATAGCAATTAGCGAAGAACCACAGTAATGGAACAAACTGTAAGAAGTCTGATATTAGAGAAACTAGTTTTGACACATTCGTGCGTCCTCTTCAGTCTCACGTTGTTTTCTGTCATGAGTAAATGGAACAAACTGTCAAAAGTCTGATATTAGAGAAACTAGTTTTGACACATTCGTGCGTCCTCTTCAGTCTCACGTTGTCTTCTGTCATGAGTAAATGGAACAAACTGTCAAAAGTGTGATATTAGAGAAACTAGTTTTGACACATTCATGCGTCCTCTTCAGTCTCACGTTGTCTTCTGTCATGATTAAATGGAACATACTGTCAAAAGTGTGATATTAGAGAAACTAGTTTGGACACATTCGTGTGTCCTCTTCAGTCTCACGTTGTTTTCTGTCATGAGTAAATTGAACAAACTGTAAGAAGTCTGATATTAGAGAAACTAGTTTTGACACAATCGTGTGTCCTCTTCAGTCTCACGTTGTTTTCTCAGGCAGTTCCATAATATTTGTACCTCATAGTCATTTTATTCACTGTTTCCAAAATTATATCTAATACTTTGTAGATGCATACTTATATATATATAATTCAAAACCTTAAAGTTTAATCCAAATACATGCAAAGACAGAACATTTAGAAATATATTTAAATGTCAAAAAAACCTATACAGTCGGGAGCAGATTGGGCCACCAAGACGGACACTGGGCAATTGTCTGGTGGGCCAGTGTATTTGATGCATTCTTATAAATTGATTTTAAATTATAATCGTTTAGCCAGTATGCAGCATGTAATATTGTCCAGGCTGGTTCTTTAATGCCAGCTGTCAACATATTTAGTCGTTCGTTTGTGTATAACTGCATACTAGCATTCAAGTAGTATTGAAGATAGTTCATTTCCTCAGTTATACAGTGATGTAGGTTAGAATCTGTTATACAACAACAACTGAAATTGTTAGAGGACTATATATGAAAAGTCAGTTAGTCTTAATATTGTTGTTTTTTTCTAACAGTTTTCTTTGATGAAAGTTTCTAGAAAGCCAGGTTGTTGTTTTGTGACATTGAAACACTGCCTTTAGACTCGCATTTATAATTTCCATGCATAGATCGGACAGCAACAGGATTTTAATGGTAATAGTCTCTTTTCCTAATATAATTATTCACATTAACGGTAATTAACATCTCTGTATGAATAATGTTCGTTATTTTTCTCTGTTTTTTTAGGTTGGTCAATATGCCATCTTTCATGTGTGGGCGAACTTTCATATGAATAGCTTTCATTATCTAGTAGGTGGCATTTCTTTGTCTTATAATTTTATGGCTCAGGTTTCTTTGGCATGATTGGTCAATAATCAATAATGATGATAATCCCTGATGCTATCTGAAAGTATGAAAGAAACTGTTAATAGTAAAAAATAGAGATTTCTTAAACGATATGCTATTAACAAATGCATAAGAAACGAAGAAAGCTACTAGTAACTAACATAGAAGTGCAGTTTTCTGTTAAAGATTTGTAAGTAAATGTTCTTGAATTTTAGAAGTAACCTTGTATAATGTGTAAAAACTGATAACTATTATTAACCTTCCCATACAAGTGTCCTCCGTTATACTGACATGGCAGTAAACATTTGTTAACCTTTTATTGAAATTGGTATCTATTGTTATGATATACCAGTAAGCGTTTGATGTCCACTTCTGTTTTCCTTACATCTAACTCAATTAGCCTTTTAACACTTGTGATATATAGAAATTTCTGATGTGGGTGTCATGCTTTACATATAACACGTATCACTAAATCCCTAATGTAGGTGTTGTCCAAAGGGATTCTTATTCTGGACGGTGTAACAAAAGTACATGGAATGATAAACAGCATTACAACCTTCTCGGTTTCAATCTCACCAGAAATGGCTCCCTCATGTCATGTGATAGTTTACCATGTAGCCACCGATGGACAAGTGATTGTAGACAGCATTACATTACCAGTTGCTGCAATTAATCGTGCGGACGTAAGTAGCGAATGGGTGTTCTCGTATACTTTAATATTGACAATAATATCTGTATTACAACGTTTGTAAAAAGTAGAATTCTATGTTGTAGTCAAAACTTAAATGTAAAAAGTTGTCATTAGGAAATGATAATAATGTGTAGTCTGGAAGAAAAGATACAATCAGGTGTAATGACTGGAATTTACAATTTGAGATGTAGTTTGAAAATCGGATAAAAATAGTTTTACGGTTTTCAACTTAGCATAAAAAGAAAAGGATAATAATTAATTGTTATATTGCAACAGAGAAACACCTTTTCAAAAAGTGTTGATTTCTCTAGCCAGATGAGGGATTTTTGTGTAACTCACATTCTTCGTAAGTATTCATAACTAGAAAAACACTATAAAAAAGTTAGCATCTTTTCTGCATAATATGAGGACTATTAATACATCAGATGTTGCTATAAGACTAGTAATACGTCAGATGTTGCTACAAGACTAGTAATATGTCAGATGTTGCTACAAGACTAGTAATATGTCAGATGTTGCTACAAGACTAGTACTACGTCAGATGTTGTTACAAGACTAGTACCACGTCAGATGTTGTTACAAGACTAGTACCACGTCAGATGTTGCTACAAGACTAGTAATTCATCAGATGTTGCTACAAGAATAGTAATACGTCAGATGTTGCTACAAGACTAGTAATATGTCAGATGTTGCTACAAGAATAGTAATACGTCAGATGTTGCAACAAGACTAGTACTACATCAGATGTTGCTACATGACTAGTAATATGTCAGATGTTGCTACATGACTAGTAATATGTCAGATGTTGCTACAT